GCAGCCCCGGCCTCGACAGGAGTCTTGCTTCGCCCCGCGCTCTCCTTACAGCTCCATCCATTCCCCTTCCCCTCGGAAGCCTCAAGGCGGGGTTGAGCAGGTGCCTGTCGGGGGTTCACACCAGTGTGCGACGTCCGGGCCCCACGGCTGGGAGCAGACTTTAGCCTGGCTCCGGGCAGAGTGCCTGAAGCGGGAGGGACAGCAGGGGAGCAGGCCCGGCAGTGACAAGAAGTTGAACCGGCGAGAAGACCCACAAATGAGATGCCTGGTCTAAATAACAGCCACTTGCTTGACAAGTGGAAAGCGTTTAGAGCTGGCAGGGCTGTACAGAGGGCTCCTGGCATGTCCCTTTGGGTCTGAATGGAGAAAAAGGGAAAATCAACAAAGCTGGTATGGAAAGGTTTGATATAAGAGAATACAATGAGACAAGTATATTCCAGTTTCTTTTCTTACACTTTTCCTCTCTATATACTGTATATGTGCTGCTTCTCCCTTTAACACCCCACTACTCTGAACTCATATTCCACTGTTAAAAGCATTCTTTAGGTGGTTCTGCCTCAGGTTTTGCTAGAATAAAGCTGTCCTTTATTACTTTTCAGCTATATTCAAACTATGTTCCACTACAGTTTGCTTTTCTCCTTTGGAGCTGGCTCTCGTGCTGCTCTCGCTGTTGGATAGAAACCACAGCTTGGTTCCCATTATTCTTTATTATCTGCCAGATAGTAATTCTGCACTCATGGAAGAGAAACTGTAATTCCTCCATTCCTCAGTTCCCAATCTGCAAAATTGAAGTGCTAAAATGTCCTTTTTTCCCCCTTTTCACTTTAGACATTTTTAAGGATGGAGAACTTTACACGTACTCAGTGAATCAATGGGCACCTCTACAAAAATACAGACACCTGTAGAAATCTAAATTTATGTGTTTTCATGTCAAAACAGATGTCTCTAAAAGTCTTAGTTACAAACTAACTCTTCAATGCCCACCCATAACATGTCATTAGGTCTAGAGAAGCTAGCTTCAGTCACAGATTCTGCCACTTGGCTCTTTATTTTGCAAAATCATCTGGTCCTTTTTGTGGGCACAGTTTCTAGGTGGGTTTAAGTTAAACAGAGTCTGAAATAATCCTTACAAAGGAGCAGGAAGTGCTCACTGGCTGCTCAGCCAGTCCTACTTTAACGATTCTTTTTCAGCCACTGGTTCTCAAAAGCTGTCTTAAGAGGAGGGAGGCAGCACAGAGTCTTTGCACTTTGGATCCTAATCAGATCTTCATTGTGTTAGTACCTACAAAATAGGTAAATGGTCAACCAGTAAAATACTTTTTTGTTAAAACTTCCTGAATTTGTCATTTTATATTGTCTTTTCATCCATAGGGTGTTTGGCAACTTTTTTCTCTTTATCATTCAAATAAATAGTAATTTCACTAGTAGAAAGAACTTTTGGAGATAGTGACAGGACTAAAATGTCAGAATGAGCCCAAAATTGTCTCTATAGATGGGCCAGCTGCACATTCCTCAATGTCAAGTGACAGGAGCCATTTCTATGGACCAGTCTTTCAGGCTGACTGACAGATGCAGCCTAGGACAGTGTTTCAGGCTGTAAATCACTGTAACAACAACCAGCCCTGAACAGACCTGAGAACTGGCAGGAATATGCACAACTGAGGAAGGATTAGCATCAGCTATAGTAAACACAAGTGGCCTCTTCTGTGTCTCATAGGCACACCAGATACTATGTTAGTTATAAAGTGTTAAATGTTGCTTCATCTTTATCAGTGTGCATCCAGAAAGTGTTCCCTACAGCAGCACTATTTTATCACAGATAAGCATCATTTCCAGAAGGGATGGCAGTACCTCTAAAGAGTAGTGGGTCTTAAAGATTATGAAAAACAATATTTGATACGTAATTTCTTATTTCTCAAATGTATCATTGGAAACATTTCATCTCTCTTTATAGGGTTTGGACAAGCCTTGAGGGAATATTTCATGCCTCTTGCAGATGATGTTTAAGGAATTAAACAGTGCTGGATATTCCTCAAATTCCACATAAACTTACCTGAACATAAGTTTAAAAAAAAAAAAAAAAAAAAGAGACTTGGTCTGAAGATGCTGTGTCCTTCAATACCTAAGTAAACACACTCATCAGGAGTTCAGCAGCTAGTTTGATAAGGCCTGAAATCAGTGTCTGAAACTTAATTTTATAGAAAATTAAGACACATGGTTACAAATACGATGTTGTGTTAGCCTGGCAATGTTGATGAAAGAGCTAAACCCCAACTAATTTGTCTTCTCTTAGCAAGGCAATTAAATTTTCTACTGATAAGCCAGAGGTGGTGCTGATTTTAAATTCTTTACCTTGAAACCTCCATATCAGGCTTCAGTTTCAGAACTTTTCAATGCAATTAACACAGCCTTTAGGTTCATTGCACCCAGAGACACAGATAAAGACATAAATGTGGGGGTTGCTTTCAAGAAATGGTACATCTGTGAAGTAAAACCAAAGAGGATGAAGAGTAATGTATTATGAAATAAAATCTCTATTATCTGACAGTTGTGTAGCTGTCAAATCTCTTTCATTTGGTCTATTCATAGGAATTCCTGTGTAGTCTCTAGCTTGACAAAATTGCAGTCCAAATAAAATGCTGTTTCCTTTGAATTTTATGCTATCTTCTTTTCTATAATTTATTATGAATCTCAGGACTTCAGTCATTTCTATATATCTATGGGCTGATGTCTTACATAGCTATGGTTGTTGCTATAATACCAAGGCAAAACCAATACAAAATACACCACACCACAACTTTGAAAATTTAAAATTTAAATTTAATTATATAGTTATGAAACTGAGGAAAAGATTCATTCTGCTAAAAAGTAACTTGATACAACATTTAAATCTATAGGTAAACGACAGTAAATTAGATTGTTATAACCTTAGTGTAAAGCAAAAAGATCAGTAAAATATCTACTGTATTGAATAGTTATTATATTCTGGTTTTACAGTGTTGTTCATGTACTTTACAAGTATATCTACTGCCCAGACTACTGACTGTCTTCACCTGAGGGAGCAGTGTATAAATGCTGCAAATGGATGTGAGAGTGTCTGGAATGTTGTTGAAGATGTCTGCAATATTTCAGGTAATTCTTTATGGTGTACACAGCTTTATTCTGAATTGCTGAATGGTTGCATATTTGTAGTTTATCATAATATCACTGTGGTGACTGAATAAAATCAGTGAGATTTCAAAGAGAAAATTACAAGTCAGTCAACTTCTGAAATCATAGACAGAGGCCAGTACTATACTACTAAAAGTCACACTGGCTCTTCGATAAGGTAATAAATGAAATTTCCGGACTATGAACAAAGAATCTGAATGAACTCAAGAAGCCTGAATTCATCAGAAATATGCTCTTGTGGAATCCTGTCAAACAAAGCCAGCACACAGCTGGAAAAAACTTCCAATCTTGTTTTCCATGATTCTGAGGAGCTGATCTACCCCCTCCCTGGCAGTGTTCAAGGTCAGGCTGGATGAGGCTTTAGGAAACCTGGACTAGTGGAAGGTATCCCTGCCCATGGCAGTGGGGTTGGAACCAGATGATCTTTAAGGTTCCTTCCAAACCAAACCATTCTGTGACTCTTAAGATTTTGCACAACACCCGTAACAATGTAGTGGTTATTTAGAGTAATTTTCAAATATTGTATTAGAATAAGAAAAAAATCAAATAAAACATGCCACAAAAGAAGTTGTGTTGTAGGGAGGCACATTGTATTTAATCAGTGAATAGTATCTACATGTTAGTGATTCAGTTGCAGGGAGTGAGCATATGATAAAGTGCAGGTTACAATGTGACTAAGGCTCCTTGAATTGTTAAACAGAATGTCACATAAATGAAAGCAGACCACTCTCTGTCTGTCTCTGTTTATTGCACTCCCAACACTTGGTGCATCATTTCAAAGTAAGGTATGTTTTAGGTGAGGTAAGACCAGATATTACAAGTTTGATCTGAAAGTCATCCTAATCTCTGTTGTCATTCAGAGGAAAAGGTTCCTTCCTCCAAAGTCCAATTATCTTCTTGAACAAGTCTTGAGTATCAGTCACCATCTCTTTCTTTAAATCCTTCTGGTTCCTTCCTGTTAAATGTTAAGTATTCACTTGCAAGGTGCTGTGGACATGGAATGGAGAAGAAGAGTGGCAGTGCAGTGTGGTAGTGTTATTAGACCAAGATAGTAATGATAACTTTGTTGACTGATAAATGTCAAGTGCCTTGATCTTCCAAGGCTACACCAGTAGCAGCAAATAAATGGGCCAAGGACTATTTTCTGACACTGAGTTCATCATGGGGTAGCATGTATCCATACAAATAAACTGTCTTACCGCCATGCTGGCTGCATGGAACTGCCTTTTGGGAGTGACTCCAGCTCCACGCTATCTTCACAGTCTAGCTGGGTTGGTCTAGACTGGCTACCATGCAAAAATGCCACAGTACAGACATAGTCACTTGCCATTAGCTTAGCCCATGACTTGGTCCTCTTTATAAATGCAGCCAAGGGTCTTTAGGTACATAACTGCCATTTCCAACAACTTAGTTCCATGAGGCAGGTTCTCTGTTACTGAGAATCAGAGGTATCTACATCTCCATGGAAACCTTCCTTCCCCTTATATTGACATTCTTTGAACAAAACCAACCATGTCCTGATGCCATAATCTGTTCTGAGACTCAGCTGCAGCAGAGTTGATAAAGTGAATGTCCCTCTGCTTGTCTTGATGTCAGGACCGAATCTTACGTTTGGTCTGTGTGGGTAGCCAGGCAGCAGAAGATACTGCTTGACTTCATGGTCAATAGCCTATTGCTAGAGCATTCACCTGCAGCATGAGCTACATGGATGCCCCTGTCTGTCTGATTTGTTGCAGAGATTTGAACCCAAGTGCCCAAGTCACAAGGCAGTATTTGAAAGAATTAGAGTAGGATTCCTTCTTAGGGTTTCCTGTTCCAGATATGCATCTGCTTTGCACAGAATGGCTGAATACTTTGAAGAACAGAATAAACGAAAAATACAAGATAAACTAATGGTTATGACAGTCCCCAAAGGAACTGGGTTTCAACTCATGTTCCGTTGAGTTATTAAATATTTTATGTGAAGTGGAACAGTTTCAAAAGATATGGCTGCTGCTTGAAGAAAAAAGTATTGGAATATGCAGTACTTTCAGCCTCAAGACAGTGACCTAAAAATGAGCTCTCTAGAACCAAACCTCTTCCCCAAATCATAAGAAGTTAAGTTTGCTTCTGTTGCATCATTCTGTTGCATTCTGTTGCATCTGAGGCATTGGCACAAAGACTACTTCACATAAAGGTCAGATTTGGTACTGAAGCCTATTCTTCATCATTCACAGTAAACAGATGAAGTGGACCAGCATGATGACTTCTGTGGTATTCCCTTTGAATTTATCACATTGTCCCATAATGTGCTGTTTCCTTCACTTATTGTCCTATGTGCTTATTCACTGATATTAATGGTATTTGTTACTGGCTCAGAGAAACCTACTGAAAATAAGTTCTTCTTGTAATTGCTTATTTGGTTTTACATTTGAATATTTTCTTAGGATAATGGCCTTTGGCAAGGACTCTCCAACAGTGTGGGTCACTCAGATATTGTGTTGGGTCTTGGACAAATTATTCTAAATGTGCTTATTAGGTGCCATGACCCCAGAGGGTGAATAACATTATTCTGTCTGTCAAGAGTACTCTACATATGCAAGACTTCATGGATGAGCTGTAGAAATGGAAAAAGCCCCTCAGTGCTGAGCATGAAAGTGTTAGGTGCAAGCAATAGGCAATGGAGCAAGTGTTCCTTTTGCTAGTTTCTTTGTGAAAAACCTAACTACAAATTGTAATTACACTCCTACTCTGTGGTATGAGTTCAACAACACAGTCCCTCAGGCTGTAACCTCCAAGTCATGAAGACCTCCATCTTTTGTTCTTCAGAAACATGTCTGGGAACACTACAGATGACTGACTGCCTGACTTGCTCCTTTCTCTGTCAAACTGTTCATCACTGCTTCCCTGCTACTACAGCAGCATTTTCAGCATCTCAGTTTAAAATGCTCTGAGTCCAATTCTTCTTCCATTTCCTGTTCTGTGCCAATGTACAGTGAAAAGCAAAAAACCAAAAAAAAACAAAAAAAAAACCCAAAGCAAACCAAACAAAAGCAAAAAAACCCCCATAAAACTAAGGAAGGTGCAAATTAGCTTCCAAGTCAGGATGGAAAAGACTGAAATATTTAACTATGATGGAATCAAAGGTTTTCACTTTGAAAATGTCAAAAATGATTCAGCACTGCAGAATGAAGGTTTTTAAGTTTTGGAGTTTTCTGGGTTTTGGGTTTTTTTTTTTTTTCCATCTGTTATTTCACTGGGGGAAAAAAAGCAGAAATTTCTGAGCTCTGATTTAACCACTAGTATATATTTTCTTAATTTTTCAGAACTGGAAATATCTGGGTTGAACAGAAAAAAGTCAAAAAATCTCAGATCACTTAAATATTAATGAATTACACTTTGAATTAGATTTGGAAGAGTTCATTTTTCTCAGAGTAACAGAATCACTGAGGTTGGAAATGCTCTCTGGAGTTCTAGTCCAAACCCCTTGCTTAGACAGGGTTTCAGGTTGTTTTCCAGGACTGTGGATTTTGGATATGTCATCGAATCCTAGAGTCATAGAATGGTTCGGGTTGGAAAGGACCTTAAGATCATCTAGTTCCAGTGATGGCGGCATCAAAACCCATCTGGGCACTCTTCCACTGTTAGACCACTGCCATATTAAAAAAGTTTTTTCTAACCTTTAAATGGAATTTCTTGATTTTCAGTTTGTACTCCTTGTCTTGCCACTGGATACCATCAAGGAGTCTGTCTCTGCCTTATTCATTCCCCTACTGTCAGGTATTTATACACATGGATACGTGTGTTGGTAAACCCCTGAGCCTTTTCTCCTCCAGGCTGAGTATTCACAGCTCTCTTAGCCTCCCCTTGTAGGACAGATGTTCCAGTCCATTAATCACATCTATGGCACTTTGCAGGATCCACTGCCACATGCCCATATCACTCTTGTCCTCAGGAGCCCAGCACTGGACGCAGCACTCCAGATGTGGTCTCATCAGTGCTGGAGGGGAAGGCCCAGTACTTTCCTTTATAGTCTTCAGGTGCAATTCCCCCTGACACAACTGAAGAACTCACTGTGCAAGAACAGAGATTATCTCCCTGGAAAAGTCAGGTTCTACTTTGTCATGCTTCTATCTGTGGCCCTACATACATAAATTACATACATATAAATAAATTGAATTATGAACAATGGCTGCCAAGCATTAGGTCAGAGAGCATTTTCTATAAATTCCTTGGAAGCATAGATATAAGCTAAAATATATAACCTAGGACTAATAAATGGTAAAGTAATAATAATTGAAAACCAGCAATAAAATATTTTCTGCTGTTCATCATGTCTGAATCAATACAGTGTACAGATTAATACTGATAATAGGTTATTTCTGCTGATAATAGGGCAAGCCATAAATATGATATGTCACCTGATTCTGTCTATGCCCTTCTTATCTTTGTAGCCCCACGACCTACTTTTCATCCACTGGTTGTAGGTTGCTGTGATTCAGTGCAGTGTGTTCACTGCACCGTTCACTGTGTGTGGCCACTGGACACAGTCCCTATGCACCTGATTCCTAACCACAACTTGCAGGTGTCATGAAGGCAGATGAGCAAAGTGAGTCTGGGATGCTGCATACCAGGATTTCTGTTTCTTATTCGCCTACCTCTACTCACCTCCACCTTTGAAGTGTCCTCAGGACCTTGAAGACAGTCTTTTATACAAGCCCCTCCTGATCTTCATTGTTGTTTTTCTACCCCTGGAATTTGTCCTCCTGAAATTGTCTTCCAAGGTTGTTTTACTTTCCTTTATTCACCTGATAAAATATAGAGTAGAATATCCACCCACCTACCTCCACGGGTCTCCATAGTTCCCATGTCACCACATACTTTCCATCCTATTTTTACAGTCAGGGAGTGTCCTATGTCTATGACCTTCAGTAGATCTCTTGAACTCCTTGGCTACTGCAAAAAACAAGAAATGTGAGGGCTAAGGGTCAGGGTCTACTACTAAAAATGCAGAAGGCAAGTTGGAGATGGGGTTGGAGAGATACAGGCAAGTCCATGCACCATCACTTCCTCCTTTGGTGATACAAGAGGTGAAGCAGGAGCAGAGTCTGGGAACTCCAGCTCTTGCTGGAATGCAACAATACCCTCTAGCAATGCACATTTTAATACACCCCCAAAATCTCCTTAGTCGCCAACAGCAACTGGAGAAAGAGCAATACAGACACTTTGAAAAAGGATTTAGGGGTGGCAGGATGGGGATATACACTCTGGAACAGCTGATACTCATTCCTTCAGGCACAGGCAAAATGCACTCTTTC